TGACGAATTTTAAGTTTGTCATCTTACTTAAGTATTTGGGTTTGAGTTAAAACAAATTGGACCTGTGCACATATCTAATTATCACTTTAATATCAGTTTGTTTACATTTTGAATATGTTCCTTATAAATACTGTATGGCGTGATCTGAAAACCATTTTTCTTTTAATAAGACCAGTGAAAGTATACATTTGTTACGATATATTTCATTTGTTTCACCATCGACAATTATATCGAAGTTACAGAACGTTACTCCACAAGAAAATATGATGTGTTTATTTCTGGTAGTTGTTTGAAGATGATACAGAATGAAATTTGAAAGGTTTCAACAAGTCAGATCTCTACCCCTTCTGCCATGTGCCATTGGGTCAGTTCCTTTGTTACTCCAGGCTTATTATATTAAGTCAGTTCCTTTGTTACTCCAGAAGGGTTGGTGAAGTCTCTCAGGCTTACCCTGTTATATTCTTTTGGGGGGTATTCCAAGAAATGTGTCTACAATTTCACAGTTGTCATCAGAATTTACTGAAATGAAGGAACAGATATGTAGTATTTGTGCAGACATTTGAATATGTATCCTGTCACTAGAGGTGCCCACGTATGGGAACAGTTTCAAATTTTCATGTTCCAGAAATTTAAATAAAATGTAGTATTTCTCAAGAGAATGGCATAGCAGGTGCAATTGGACTTTGTTATAGAGAACTTGCCAGATGAAATGAAATGCTACTATCAGGACTTTGCTCTCTTTGTTGAGGACGTGAATATCAAAATTGAGGTTAAGTCATTATTCTTTGTTTATTGTCATTAACATGTAATTTTCAGACTTTGCTTGCAGGACTGAATTTTGAACTTTTTCTCCCAGTGTTTTATATTTAAGTATATCAGGTGTGACAGATCATAAGATTCTACTGCATTTCTTGTCATTAAGAGTTAAAATATATATATATGAATAATTGCTGCTGTGTCTTGTTACAGTATTGTAGTTTATTTATTAACTACAATTTAAATTGCATTATAATAATTAAATCAATTTGAATTTTGGTTGATTTGAATAACAGTATACGCTTACAGACACAAATTAGTGATCCGTAAACGTGGATTTAATCGTGTTTGTTCATTTTACAAATTTATACTTATTGCAGGTGCTGGGAAATCTTTGGCCACGAAATAAATATGACGAGTGAGTTTATTAAGAAATCGCTTGCAGTGTCCAAGCGGAATGAGTATGGGATCCGTGACTTACTTTTATACTACGTAAAACGTGAGCTGTCAGATGAAGAAAAAAGAAGGTTTGTAAATTACACTGGCACTTTTACATGCGTATTCTTAAATCTACTGAATTTGAATCGCCGTGAATATGAGGAATAGACACATTGAAGGTAGGATTCAGCTCCACATGTAGCAGATGGATTTTAAGGAAAAAAAAATATAACTGGATTTAAATTCTGCATGCTACCCTATAATTCCAGGCATTTACTTAAGACTACAGACACATTTGTTTATTCCTACCCATCACTTTCACACACAGAATGAACATAATTCGCTGGGACGATACGCTACAGACTTGTTTATAATTAATAATCTTCATTGATAGAAAGGGGATCTGGGGTAGCTGAGTGATTATATAATAATCTTCATTGATGGACAAAGGGTTTTTCCTCCTCCGAGGGCTGCCTGCCCCTATCTAGTGTCGAGGTTAACGCCAAGTGCCTACATGGCGTGTAGTGGGACATAAGAATGATAATAATACAAAAATAAAAGTTGCTTATTTAAACATGGACTTTCATGGTTTTTCTCCAAATTTTCTTTTTACTATCGATAATTATTTTCATAACTCATTCAATTAAATCAGTCGAAGCGGTATAATTTTTAGATAATATTTCCATAAAGACTAATTAATTACAGAATGTATTCTGGCCAGAGAACAATAATTTTGATTTGTTCATTAAATTTCTTCTATTCTACCTGAGCATTTGTGGGTATCTAAGGTTATGTTTGTCCCTAAAGTTTGGGACTGAAAAAAATGTAGTCCGACTGATATTACGCAGTGATGAGCCTGGCCACTATTAAAAAAATTGTTGCCTGCTCGCAGTAAGTCGAGAAAAGTTTGTAATAAATTCTGTGAAATATAAATTGTTTCGCACTAAGATATATTTCATATTCATGTAAGCAGTTTGATATACTTGATTACTTTTTATACTTGGATGAAGTATTTTAGATTATTTCTCTTATCACGGAAGCGTACCGTGCTTATTTTAAAGTGTTAATTATTTTAGTGAAATATATTAAGTTGTCAACACTCCTTAATGGAAATTGGAAAAGCGATGATTATAATAACAGAATTAAAATCCCTATGTAGACGACAGTATGATTTGTTTATTGCACAGCTCGGATCATTGTAAACCCTCTCGGCTCTTGTATTTTTCCCTTTTCATTTGTATTTTAAGTTACAAATCAATAGAACTGGATGAGACGTAGTGTCATATTTGGTAGCTGGGGGAAAAACTGGTAACAAGTTATGTTATCTTTCCAGGATGAACATCTCACATCGGTGCTACAAGACTTTGAACAGCGGCTTAGATTTACACGAGTACCAACATACAGATATTGTTCAGTGTGGATTGCAGGAACATAGAAATAGTCACGTTTACAAGAAAGCATTGAAGATAGCTAAGGAACGGACTAATTTAGTATTTAAAATCGCTGACTTGTTCCGTAGGTACGTTTGATATTAAAATTTTTGCTCTAACCACCTCTTTTCCTACAAATTCAAGTTCCTTTGCGTGTGTGAAAGGGCAGGCGAGACTCTCCCCGCCATAAGCCGCTCGCACAGGTTCACCGCGGCTCTCGTCTGAAAGGGTCCAATGCGTTTTGCTGGGATTTCTATCTCTAGCAGTCACTTCAGCTCACGTGTGAAAGGGCTATGCCGGCCGGAGCTTCGGCTCATGGTAGGGTCACCCAAGCCGGACAGGTCTAAGGAGATGCGCCAGACTAAGAGCGATACCCTGGTCCTCCAGGTTGGGGCTTGGGGTTATAACAACCCCACCCCGGAAAACGATTACTGTTAGGATACTCTCAAAAGAGCCTCGGATGGATCATTTTGGTAATGGACCCTGGCAAACGTTCACGGACTCGGAAGCGAACCGCGACACTGACCGTGGCCAAATGATGACGGAGGCGCTGAAGTATGGGATGGACGTGGCAGGGTTTCGAGCCTTTAGGAGACAGAATGTGCAAGATAAGGCTCGAAGGACACTTCAGAAACTTGTCCTTTGTTTGGAAGGTACCAAGTATGGATGTGGTCAATCAGATTGATCATGTCCTGGTGTCGAGAAGGCATTCCTCTTCTAGGCCAGGCGCTGGGAGGGCAGAGAAAGATTAGTCTCTGGGGAGTTAGAAGTTTGGATTCCTCGGCACCGCTCCCCACTAAAGGTCACCCCACCGCGCTGAAACCTTTAGCCAAGGGCCCCGGTTCCCAGCCGGGACCCGCTCCCTCGACACACGTAGCATCTAGGCGCAGCTCTCCCGGAGACAAGTCCGTTTCTCTCAGTGGCACGTCAGCTGACAACCACTGCTCGCACCCAAGTGGACAAACAGTTTTAAGTTTCCTATCATCAGCATGTTTTATGTTCTTATGAACATCATTCTGACTCCCTGTGTTTCAAAGGAATCTCTGTTTTAATGATTCAGATCAATGTACTATATCTCTTCTGACATTATGGTACTAGAACACAGAAACAATGTATTTCAAGTGCTCTGATTAACCAACACAATTATCAAACCTTAAAGAGCCTCGAAAGCTTGAAATGTTGAATGAAAAATATGGGAAACCTAATATACCTTAGGAGCTTTGACATTAAGGATCAGAGAAAAGTGTACAAGCCCATACACAGAAACTGGTTTATTGAACAATACAAACTTCTATAAATCACTTACAATTTATGGCTACTGAACGTGCTGATAGACTCCCATTAATATTTTTCCCCGAAATTCACACAAAACAGATCTATCATGTATTTTAAAACTTTAAATATATATTCTCGATTCTCGTAACAAACTGTCATTAACTACCGATCTCTTTTTAACTGTGAAGTGTTGTCTTTCATTCCTGGTACAGACTGCGTTCTTGAATATTATTTCGACAAATTTTGGGCTTCAAACTGTTCGGGGTTTCCATCGAGCAGGAAATAATAATTCAAGAACCATCTGACACGGCAGATTCTCTACCCGGATCAGGGCATGAACATCATCCTCACGTATTATTGAATCTCGAACACGCTGCTCCCGCGTAACTGGTTTATCTTGCAGTCAAAGTCATTAAAGTCGAATATAAAAAATAAAACAATTAAATAAAATAAACCGAGGTCTGAATTTCTCTTATTTGTAAGCATCTGTAATCTTAGCTAGAGAATTAAGCACGTGTGTGGATGAAGCCAAAAAGTATCGTCCACATACACAGAGCTGAAAGATGTATCTGTCCATCGTACAAGATTAAATCCTGTCACATACAGATTAAGATCGGAGTACAGGTAAATAACAGAAGAGTTTGGACACCATGTGGGCTTGGGCTCACAGTTCTTCAGACCTGCGGATAGAAGCAACAGATCCTCCGAAACATTGGTATCTACCAACAAGCCCCAGAGGCTTGACAACCCAACTCCGTCAGAACCCCAAATCCCACAAAGTTTATTTTTATGGTTAAGGCTTTGACCGGGATGTTCTTTTGTTAAATCTTACGTGGTACCGCCTGATTCGACTTCTAATGGTTAAGTGAAGTGTTTTCTTCGCGGTACGGTCTGGATTCGTAAATAATATTCAGACGATCTTCGGCTTCAAAGGGTTAACCAGCTGATTTTCGTAATGGTGAGGTGTAGTGTTTTCTTCGCGGTACGGACTGGATTCGTAAATAATATTCAGACGATCTTCGGCTTCAAAGGGTTAAAGTGAGAATCATATGATATCCATAAATACAAAATTAAGATAGTTATTATTAAAGCAGATGGTATATACATTTACCACTGGGATTTAAAGAGTTGAGAAGGGCTGAAAGTTTATTGTAATCATTTAGAAACAGCAAAAATATTAACATGAAATTAAACTAATCGGATTCGTTGCTTATTCTTAATTCACGTAAGTGCTCAGATTACACAGCACAGAGTAGCAACAAAATTACTCTAGTCAGGATGAAATTAATTCCGGTGAAAATTAACATTTCTATGTCAATGAAACCAATAAATGATAAATCATTCGTACAAACAAATTGAACCGCGTGTGTTAAGCTCAAGTATAGACGTTAATATAGATATCCAGGGCGAGGTTAAATTATGTTGACCTTGAATCTCATCGCCTTGATGATGGAGGCAGCCATCTTGATCTTTTTCGTAAACTAAGATCAAACAACGCACATGGACTCTTGAGAGTCGACCGAAAGAGCACGTAGACACAAGAAGCGCTGATTTTCACATTTTTAGATTCTGTCACGGGGACGTATTTTCCTTCTCTCCGGCTCGAGTTCGATTCTCGTCATATTTTAATATCACGCATCCTCTGTTAGGCTGTCATATGAATTATCTTCCTTCTCATGCAACGAAGGGAGTGAAGTCGTATCTGGTACATGGCTGAGGAGGGGGGTGGGTTACAAAATCCTTTCGCTTGGTTTCCACGTCTCTTGGCTGCTAAGCTTCTATAAAAGAGTTTTCGTAGTGCGAAAGCGGCGTACGTCTGATAAGATAGTGTAATTGCGTCATATTGTGAATATTATATTAATTATTTGTTTTAATCCGTCTGTATTTTATTTGTAGTGTTCTGTCTGACGACAGGTCCATATGAACAGGATCCTTCCATCCTTTTCTC